CAGCTCAGAGCCTGGAGCCTGCTTCCGATTCTGTGTCTCCCTCGCTCTCTGCCCCTCCCCCACTCACACTCTGTCTCTGTCTCAAAAAAATTTTTAAAGAAAAATATTTATTTTATTTTATTTTTTTATTTTTTATTTTTAAAAAATTTTTTTTTAATGTTTTATTTATTTCTAGGAGAGAGAGAGACAGCGTGAGCAGGGGAGGGTCAGAGAGAGAGGGAGTCACAGACTGAAACAGGCTCCAGGCTCTGAGCTGGCAGTCAGCACAGAGCCTGACGCGGGGCCCGAACCCACGAACCGCGAGATCATGACCTAAGCGAAAGTCGGACGCTTAACCGACTAAGCCACCCAGGCGCCCCTGAAAAATATTTATTTTAATATGAAATATGAAAAAATCCTTTTTGATAGTTTCTCTTATGGGAGAGTGAAAAAGATCATCAGTTTTCTATTGGAAAATTTTTTGTGGACTTAAAGGATATTTGGGGGGGCATTTTAATTCATACAGTTCAAAAGCAGCTTCACAAATTCGTTGAAAGGATAGCTCTTGCCTCACAGTATTGTCTATGAAAAGCTTCCCTGCATCCCCAGCTAATCCAGTAACCTGAAGCACAGCTGGAGGAGGTGACCTCCACTCTTGGGGAATTTACATTTGACACTGGTTGCTCCTTTTCCTGAAGCAAAGTGTATTTTCTCTGGCAGTTAAGTTGCCTGTTTGATTTCTTAGATTCGATATACTTTTTTTCTTGTTGCATTCTTTTGTTTGTTTTTATTTTTATTTTTCAATTAAAAGTTTTTTTTAAATGTTTTATTTTTGAGAGTGTGTGCACATATGCACACACCAAGGGGGGAGGGGCAGAGAGGGCGGGGGACCGAGGATCCGAAGCAAGGACTCCACGCTGTCGGCACAGAGCCCCTTGTGGGCTCCAGCTCACAAACCGTGAGATCATGACTTGAGCTGAAGTTGGACGCTTAACCAACTGAGCCGCCCAGGTGCCCTATGATAATGATGATAATAATCATGTCTGGATTGCTGGAGGGTTTCAAAGTGACAGCTGCGTACAAATCGGCTAATCTAAGGCCTGGCACGCAGTGACTTTTGAATTGTATGAAGTAAAATGAGTCACCCAGGTGCCCCTTAAGTTTTTATTTTAATTCCAGTGTAGTTAACATACAGTGTTATATCAGTTTCAGGTGTATAATACAGTGATTCAGCAATTCCATACATCACTCAAGTGTTCTTTATGACCTGTGCACTCCTTAATCCCCATCCTTTATTTCACTCATTCCCCACCTCACCCCCACCTCTCCTCTGGTAGCCATCAGTTTGTCCTCTGTAGTTAAGAGTCTGCTTCTTGGTTCCTATCTTTCTCTCTCTCTGTTGTTTCCTAAATTCCACATATGAATGAAATCATATGGTATTTTTCTTTCTCTGAATGACTGATTTTACTTAGCATTATACACTCTAGCTCCATCCATGTTGCAAATGAAAAGATTTCCTTCTTTTTATGGCTGAATACTATTCCATTGTATACATACCACATCTTCTTCATCCATTCATCTATTGATGGACACTTGGGCTGCTGCCATTGTTTGGGTATTGTAAGTAATGCTGCAAAACATAGGGTGCATGTATCTCTTTGAATTAGTGTTTTTGTATTTAGGAGGTAGATACCCAGTAGTGCGATTACTGGATCATAAGGTAGTTCTATTTTTAACTTGTTGAGGAACCTCCATACTGTTTTCCACAGTGGCTGCACCAGTTGGCATTCCCATCAAAAGTGTAAGAGGGCTCCTTTTTCTCCACATCCTTGCCAACACTTGTTGTTTCTTGTGGTTTTGATTTTAGCTCTTCTGACTGGTGTGAGGTGATATCTCATTATAGTTTTGATTTTCATTTCCCTGATGATGAGTGAAGTTGAGCATCTTTTTCTGTGTCTATTGTCCATCTGTGTATGTTCTCTGGAGAAATGTCTCCAAAGTTGTATCAGTTCTTTACACATTTTGGAGACTAACCCTTTATCGGATATGTTATTTGTAAATATCTTCTCCTTTTCAGTAGATTGTCTTTTAGTTTTGTTGATTGTTTCCTTCACTGTGCAGAAATTTTTATTTTGTTGACATCTAAAGAGTTCATTTTTACTTTTGTTTCCCTGGACTCAGGAAACCTATATAGAAAAATGTTGCTACAGCCAACACCAGAGAAATTACTGCCTGTATTCTCTTTTAGGATTTTTACGGTTTCAAATCTCATATGTAGGTCTTTCATCCATTTCGAATTTATTTTTGTGTGTGGTGTAAGAAAGTGGTCCATTTTCATTCTTCTGCATGCATCTGTCCTAATTGCATTCTCTACATAGTTAATTCAGGGAAACTATTTCAGTTAATTTTAATCATCTGCAAGTTTACATACAATAAAATTGCCATGCCTTAAGAAACCAGTTCCTGAATGGATGATAAAACTCCTTTAAGTTACCACAACTTACTATCCTCTGCGTATATGGAAATCTTTTTACTTTTTTAATCTCTATAAATCTTCTCAGCAACTCTGTGAGGTGGGTCAGCTACTAATGCTCCCATTTTTTTCCCAGCTGTGTTGACAGGTCATTAGCTATAGAACTGAGACAAGAAGCTGGGTTCCATAAATAAGTGTGATAGTTTGTTTATGAATGTGTATTTATGAGCGATCTTCAAGCTGGGGTGGGCATGCATTTGGAGGTATGCAAAGACCTTCACAGGGTGAAGGGTCTGGATACATTGAAGGGACTCCATTGCCAGAGTTTCGGCTCATGGAGGTCCAGAATGGATGGGCGTGAGAATAAGCATGTGATGAGGACACAGGTCCTTTTTCCTAAATTTCCTTCCCTCACTTTGCTAAAGGAATCCTACCTCTCTCCCATCTCGGTATAATGCACTGCACTGACTTGATGTTTTAAGACCTGTGGGGAATGAAATAGCGGAACAGTTTGGACTATTGGTTTGGGTGTGAAGAAGACCATGAGGAAAGAAAATAACTGACCTTAATGATTTGATTAAACAACTGTTGTAAGTGTGGTGGTCTCCTTTTCTTTCCTTGAAGCAAGAGCATCTGAGGACTTAAAGGGCATATTGGTTAATAGGAAAGTAAAACTAATTTTGATGATTAGATTGCTCTGTGAGTCGTGGCACATAGCTAAGAGGGAGACGGAAGAATCGAGTAGCATTGCTCTACCAAAACTCTCTCTGTTCTTAATAATTTATTTATACAAATATATTTTCCTGGCACATAAATTTATAAAAATGAAAAATGGACTGAATTGATGTGTAGCCTTAACTAGTTCTAGTAATAAACAGTCTTCTTGCACGGATGACATGAACTGGCTGGAAAACCCCAGACTTTCTTAACATTCTTCTAGAAACAGAGAGATGCACTTCCAACAAAACGTTATTCCTGTGCAGTAATTGTTTTTCCAGATTCATATATTTTCTATTTTCATCTTTTGCAGTTTGGTAATTATACTTATAACCCAATCAGAAAGGATACAAATATTTTGAGGCATTGTCACAGAGAAAAATTTGTAATGAAAAGTCAATTTATATATATAATTTTTACACACAGAAGTATCTATGCACCTCACCATTAATGCAATACACATTAACACAAAACACAAAACCATATTTTCTGCTATTATAGTACAAGAATGTAAGTATGTGGTGATGAAAACAAGAATTCAAAGAGAAAAAAATATCGACTTCAGATTGAGACCACTAAGGAACTTGTTTTTACTGGGTGATGGTAGGTATCCAATAGCTTCAGTATTTAGACTGTTGTATATAGTAGATTACATCTTTGGCAGTTATTGAAACTGACACAAAAACCCAACCCTTATATACCAATATAAAAATATGCGTGTGATACATTTAAAAAATTTAAGGAGTTTTTGGGAAAAAATGTTAAATGATCATAGATCTAGACAGAAGATCAGATGTCTTGAGGATAGGCATGGTCACGTGTCTCCCATGCATGTCCTTTGTTTTCCCAGTTTGACCTCGTGTGTGTTAATGCTTGGATGCTGGACCTCACACAAGCCATCCTAAACCTGGGCTTCCTGGCCGGAGCCTTCACCTTGGGTTATGCAGCAGACAGGTAGGCACGGATATGACAGCCATTGACATGATGCATAAGTGTGGAGATGAAAATATTTTATGTTAAACATTAGAAAACTATTTTTTTTTGTTTTATTAGTGTTTTATTTATTTATTTATTTTTTACAAATAGTTTATTGTCAAATTAGTTTCCACATAACACTCAGTGCTCATCCCCACAAGTGTCCTCCTCCATGCCCATCCCCCCTCCCCCCACATCCATCAGTCCTCAGTTTTTGTATTTTTGCTAAACTTGGGGAAAAACTTATTTTCTCTACCTGTGACATTCACACTTGTTTGGTTAGACTAATTCTCTCCTTGTTCAACTACATCTCCTTACTCCTTGAACTGTACAAGTGGATGGGGCCACTCCCAGTGGATCTGAAAGCATCTTAGTGGAAACACCAGCAGGGCAGTAATTTTATCACAGGACAGACGGATGGCTGGCTGGACACTGTGGACGGAGTTGATTCCCTGTGCTTCCATAACTCACTGGTTGTGGTCTGGATTAATTTAGTCATTGAGTTGGCCCCTTCCCAATATGTCTCAGTTATATTTTTTAAAGAAATCCTTGTATTTTATTCTACAAGTTAAAAACTCTGCAAAAAAAAAAAAAGAGTTTTCCCAAAGACTGTTAAAAGAATTTTATCTATTATTTAACATTCATAAATATACAGGTTAATGGCAGACATGGTGAGTATGTATATTAAAGATAGTCATGCTTTCTATTCAAATATTCCTGTTTCAGACATTCTTGATATTGGTTATTTTATTCATGCTTAACTATTCCTTTATCCCAATTCTAACTATGAAAATATGTGCAATAATTTAATAATTCCTTCTATACCCCTTAGGACAGGGGTAGGAAAGCTTTGGCCATTGGCTGTGTCTGGCTGAATATTGCTGTGGTCACTCTAAGCCCAGCCTCGGTGGGCCCTTGTGACCCAGCTCGTGGTACACAGTGCTTAATGGTACTTCTTGGAGAGCTGCCCACAGCAATTAATTAACTAATTGGAGACAATAAAATGCCCCAAATGCTTTAGCTAATTGACGATCTGAACTTGGCCGTATCAGGACTTCAAAGTGGGTTGAACCTTTACTTTCTTTTTCTGCTCCTTCGTCTCTCTCTTATTTTTCTTCTCTGACCCCCTACCCCCTCTTCTGCATGTTTCTTCTTAATCCTTGAGTCTGATGCTCTTTCTCTGTCTTTTATCCGTGTCTTTTTCTATGGTTTCTTCTTATAGCCCTTCACATTCATCTTTCTTTTCTTAATCTCCCCACACATCACTTTCTCTCCTAGCTGGCTATGACTTGGAGTTGAGTGATGTATTTTCAACACATATTTCTTTATTCTTGTTGTTAATCTTCCTGATTTAGACATTAGGTTTTGTCTCTTCTTCATGTTTCTCTCTCACAATCAATAAACATACCTCCAAACAAAAGAACTCAGCTAAAGGAGGGAGGCTTTTCCTACCTATGTTCCAGCAGGGGCCTGAGCGTCTGTCCGCAGAAATGACTCCACGCTTTGAAGAAGAAGACCCATGAACAATTCTGCCTCACCACAGGGCCAGTCGTCTGTCGGCTCCATCTCTGCTTTATGTCATTGAAGGAAAGAACCAGAAACAATTTAATAGGCCACATATCTACAAGAGGACAGTGCAGGAAGGACAGACAGTCTATTTTAGAGCCTGAATAAATGAGAACTACTTCTGTCTCTGCTCCGCTGACCTAAGCAAGATGCTGCATGTGTGAATTTGGTGGGAATTTCTATGGGAGAACATTTTTGAATCAAATCTTGTAAAGGTCATTGTTGACAGACTTTCACCAGCCAGTAATTTGGCACAGCTGAACTGAACCATTTAGCATCAGACTCCCAGAATATTGCCCACAGTAACCTGTACCCTTTGTCTATGCTTTTAGTAATAGCCACGTAAACGGTGAGAATAAAATGCAAAACTTAAGAACAACTCACATTGGTTGTGAACTTTACAGTTTGTAAGCAGCTTTCACATCAGCATCGCATTTGAGTCTCTACAACTTCACTGTAGGAAGGGAGAGGAGAAAACCCCACCAACCCACAAGCAAACAAAATCTGAATCTTGGATCGCTTAAGAAATGGGCCCGAGGTCCCATGGCTGGTGGACGGTTCGCCTAAGACTGAAGCCCCCGCCTGGGGCTTTCTCCCTTTCTCCTTCCAACTCCACCTGCAAAAATGCTAGAAAGCATCAAAGCTGTCCCTCCAGGGTGACACATGTGATAGGGAGGGCCATGCTTTTGGAAACTGCAATCCCCAAAAATGCATTCTGTGCCTTCCATTTTATAATGCCATTTCATGGGCACGTGTCCTTATTTGCCGTGTTTTGCTATAAAACAAAACGCAGAATTTTCAGCAATCCTGTACGGGGTAGTAATAATGCAGCTTTGAAAACAAAATTTCTGTCCTTAAGCCTCTTGTAGCAACACTTATACTGATAGTGTTTGTCACTGTGTTGAAGAAAACGCCAAAGGTGACTTCTTCCTCTCTCTTTCTCAAAAAGGTACGGCAGAATAGTCATTTATCTGATATCCTGTTTCGGTGTTGGCGTCACCGGTGTGGTGGTGGCCTTTGCACCAAATTTCCCTGTGTTTGTGATCTTCCGCTTCCTACAAGGTGTGTTTGGAAAGGGGACATGGATGACTTGCTACGTGATTGGTAAGACCTTACTACGCCTCGGTGTCTCTTTGACAGCCAGGGTCAGGTGTCCGGGAGGTGCCAGCCAGTGAGCCTTCCTCGGGGTTGTATGACGAGGCTCCGCGGCTCCCCCAGCAATGATTTCTGCAGATAGGACGGTTGCCGGGGTGAGCCTCTGACTCTGGCAAAATGCCACCTTGCCAAATATGGAATATCGCAAAATAGAGGGGTCAACCACTTCCTAGCACTGCCATACTGTTAATCACAAGTTATTGTTTGCTCTCTTGGAGACTGATTTTTATAAAAATTTAAGCAGTTCTTTGAAACATCTTTAAAATAGTCTCTGTGCATTTCTGTGATGTAGTTTGAGACGACACCCTGCGTTCTCAAATAATTCTCTCTTAATTCTATGTCTTTTGTACAAGTGGAGAACTTTTTACCGTGAAGGAGGTAGGACCTAAAAACAAGACGTTTATTTGTGAACCTTTGCGCTCTTCCATAACTAGAAAGTTTGACATTCTGGGTATGAAAGAAAGAAAAACTTCTCTTTGCTGTTTGCTCATTTTACTGGGAAAAGTCCTGGATGCTCCTTGGGCTCTGTTGCCAGTGGTCCAGGACCAGTCACCTCCTTAAGGGTCATGGTGGATTCGTGACCAGGGAGAGGCAAAAGCTCCTTTTAGATTATTGCTCCAGATCTCTAGGCTTCTAGACCCTTCCATTACTGCTAGATAATCCTTCCCCAAGCTGTGCCCACCTTGAGGACCCTTTGAAGATCTTTGTATGGGCAGGGAAGGAGAAAGAGTGCCAGGAAGTTGCCTGTCGCTGGCTGGGGCAGAAGGGATATGTAATATAAAGCATTTCTAAGGAGATCTAAGTCTAGGTGGATTTTCAAAGCTGCGATCTTAGGGCACAACCAAGGTAGCAAATCCCAAGATGATCGGAATAGAATTAATGACAGATAGAAATGGGTTCGTTTGGGTGGAGAAGGATGCCAGCAATAAGATTCCCCATGTGATTTTTAAAGAGATATCACACAAATGGAAAGTCCGACCCTGCCGAGAGAACTATTATTTAGTAGACACTCTCTTGTGATCTTGAAAAAATTCATTTGTAGAGTCTAATGCTTATAAAGAATCTCCTAATACGATATGCAAATCTTTAGAGATACTGTGGTAGAAATCTAGCCAGTGTATTTTATTTCTGTATTGATAAAATATTCATCATTTAAGCCTTCCTAAATCAACAGATATATTTTTCGTACACTCAGAAGAGTGCTGGGCTGTGTGTGTAAGGTGAGTGTGGCCAGTGCTTGCCAATAACTGACAGAGAAGAGAGTGACCAGAAAATGCAGCTCCAGCACGCATGGAAGTTTTAGTGTCTTTAAGAATTCTGTGATGGTGGGGTGCCTGGGTGGCTCAGTTGGTTAAGCATCGACTTAGGTCATGATCTCATGGTTTGTGAGTTCAAGCCCTGCGTCAGGCTCTGTGCTGACAGTTCAGAGCCTGGAGCCTGCTTCAGATCCTGTGTCTCCCTTGCTCTCTGTCCCTCCCCCACTCATGCTGTCTCTCTCTCATAAATACACAAACTTTAAAAAAAAATAAAAAAAAGAATTCTGTGGTGTTCTAACAATGCCGATGGATATGACAGATGTAACGTCTCTGTGTGTTTATTTTGGAGCTGAACTTGAGCTTCCCTAACTTCTGTGTTTGTTTTCCTTCAGTAACAGAAATAGTAGGTTCAAAGCAAAGAAGAATTGTGGGGATAGTAGTCCAAATGTTCTTCACCCTTGGAATCATAATTCTCCCTGGAATTGCCTACTTTATCCCCAGCTGGCAAGGGATTCAGCTAGCCATAACGCTGCCCAGCTTTCTCTTCCTCCTTTATTACTGGTAAAGTGGTTTTGGTCATTATTGAATTTGTTCTTATTGCACAAAAATGTAGAATCTGCACTTTCTAAACCAACAGGGAAATGAAAGTAATTAAGGAGATTTTCTAAGATCCCCAGAGTGGCTATGGGCTTTGAGAATTTCTAGAGTGTTTGAGAATGTATAGAGACTATTCATGAATTGACTAGTAGTTCTCATTAAAATAGATTAATAAAGTACCAAAACACAAAACTCTAGAGTATTGGTTATGTTTTGTTATTTTGTAATATCTTCACGAACACTGTAAGGTAATGAACAGTATCTGCCGATATTTTAACATGCAAATTAAATGCAACAAAATCGCTTTTGTTTCTATGTATGTTCTGTTAAGCAAATTAATATTAATGCAGGAATCCTCTGAGGAGTAAGAACATGTTGAGAACATCAGAAAATTAAGTTATCAGAAAGCTACAGGTGTATGCATTTGACTCTTACTGAAGTCAATACATTTTGATCATTTCTCTAATTTAATTTTAATATATGGGGAGATCAGTTTACATACATTCCTAAATGCCCCTTAAATCCCAGTTCTTTTGCTGTGTGTAACTGAGGACACTGTATTCTAGGATAGCCTGGTCTTACAAGAATAATGTAATGCTGATTATTCTTATTATGACCAATGATCCAATTATCAAGTGAGCATTTTTCCCTTCCATTATACATGTTCCAAGATAATCTATGTTTCAAAAAGCATATTCTAAATTCTCAGTCTCCTAAAGTTGTATCTAATTGCGAGATCCATATTAAGAGGGAAAATGAAATTGTTGACTTTTAAGGTTTTGAAATTCCTCGACATAATTCAACAAAGTTTTCTTCTTGCCAGGGTCGTTCCTGAATCTCCTCGCTGGCTGATTACTCGGAAGAAAGGAGATAAAGCATTAAAAATTCTGAGGAACATTGCCAAATGCAATGGGAAATATCTCTCACCAAATTACTCAGAGGTAATTTCATTTATTACTAGTAACAAATATTTTTAAAGTGAGTGAAGGAATTTGTCTCTTATTATCAAACATCTGACTAAATCACTTTTAGTTTGGCTTTAAAAACAGGAAAAAAACCCCACCTTGGAAAGAATGACAAGGTGCATTAAAGAAGACACATGAGGAAGAGCTGTGACCTTATAGTTGAGCTCAACTGGCCGCTTAGTCCATAATTTCGTAGTTGCACCTTGTTACTTAAATTATTTTAAGTAACTACTTAAATTTAAAGTAGTAATTTTGGAGCTGAACTTGAGCTTCCCTAACTTCTGTATTTGTTTTCTCCTACTGTGGACCCCATGCTATGAAATCATTCATTCATCTTAATTGCACAAAAACTATAAATCTTTCCTTGACATTCAGTGTAGTCAAAAGATTTGTCTTTAAATTTAGTCTTGGAAATACTATTTCTTCGAATCAGAGCTGGAGCAAGAATGTAGTGTTCAGCCTTTTGACTTAACACATGCTGCCTGGTCTACCGCCCCCTCCCTCCCTCGTTTCCTTCCTCCCTTCTTTTTCTTCTTCCTTTGTCCAGTAAAGGCTTTTGGGGTGCCTCTGTGTCATTAAACTAAGAGAAATGGTGGGGACTAAAGCTTATTCTTTGCTCTCTGGAAGATTTGATACTCCTCTGAGGACATACAGATAATTTGAAGTGACACTTGAATAATCAGAGAATAATATATAAAAAGATGTGGCAATACTTAACTGCAGAGACTAAGTGAATAACAAAGGAATTCTTATAAAAGGGATATGAGAGAAGAATTTTTGGAAAATACGAATCTTTGATATAAGCCTTGAAGAATATTAGGTTGCTAATATATATATATATATATTTTTTTTTTTTGGTAGCACTCGGTTGGTTTTGATAGAACATTCTGATAGAAAACAGGCTATGTTCATTTTATCATCACCTCCCCCAGCCTCCAGAACTTGGTTGGAGATATTTAGATTTCTGCCTTTTTCCTTCACTCTTACATTCAGCGGCAAGCAGGAACATCTGTGTTTACGAAGGTTTCAATTGATTGGTTGTCACTGGATTACGGTGATGCACCTTGGGGTTTATAGATCATACAATGTGTGGTGAAGAAAAAACATGATCTGTTTTAACCATTAAGGCAAGCGATCCTTGTTTCTGAGCACATTTGGGCTGTGTATTCCTTTTACAGAAAAAATATCCCGCTGCCTTCGTACCTTGCTCTCATCCCATTACCTTTGGTCTTCATAACAGGATCAAATGTATGATAATCTGCATTCAGTTTTAATAGTCAAATAAATGTTCTTGCTCCTCGCTCAACAGCATCCTGAAGACATTGCACACGTAGTCCCAGTGCTAAGCATATGTAAGCTCTACATCAAGGTTAAAAACAACAACAACAACAACACCAGTTTGTGCTGATGGCTTCCAGAAGAAAACGCCACTTGACTAGGCATGTGGTGTGTTATTGTGAGTACTGCTAAGAGGTCACAGGATGGTCCCCAGAAGCAGCTACTCCTACACATCCGGTGGGGTCCAGTTCAACGCCATGCCCATAGACCCACTGACCCACTTCGAATTCATGAACACTGTAGAGACGTTTCACCAGGGAAGTAGTGCCATGCTCTTCATGGTTTCACTTGTGGAAAGATCATGAATGACGGATCCTGTGGCTTCCAAAACATGTTAACTCTGGTTTTAAGTTAGATGCGCTCCATTTGAAAGTCGGGTTTAAAGCCAGACATGAGTTTCTCTAGGAGTTTAGTGCCCTAACCACCATTTTCTGATGATTACATATTGTGATTGGCTCACAAGCCTTTAATCTATAGGTTCCTGTTCTTTTCTTTACCTTACAACCTTGGCAGTAAAGAATGCTAGGATTTTCTCCCTTCCCACCTTCCTACCTTCCTTCCTTCCTTCCTTCCTTCCTTCCTTCCTTCCTTCCTTCCTTCCTTCCTTCCTTCCTTCCATGTTTCTGCAGCCTAAATTTTGTTGATTACATCCTTAGGATCCTTTAATCTGGCCCTCTGTCTCTTGTGTTCCCTGTCAGTAGGTAGATCTAGAGCTTAATTATGTTTAGGTCTGATACTTCTGGCAATCCTACTTTATAAGTGGTTTAGTACATTTCCATTAAGAGATACCTCACGTCTGCCTGGTTCTTTTTTTGTGATGTTAGCTGCCACTGATCATCATTGCCTGGATTCATTAATTTATCAGAGGTCGCAAATAACAGTATTTCCTTTTTCATTATCTCTTCGTTTATTGCTGGAATACTTACATAAAGACTGACTTCTCCCATCAAACATTTGGTGACTCTGAGATACAGGTCTTACGGGAAAGGCAGGATACATGTACAATTCTTTGTTTTCAAAATAACAAGTTGGTTCACTGCATTCTCCAAAAGTAATCAATGGATTGTGTGTTGTGGGGGTTTTTTAAGCCTCATTATGACATCTGGATTTTACTACTGTGTATGAGTTGGCCCTTCTCAATTATGGTTATTATCCTGATTTGTGCTCAAATTGGCCCATCTTTGGACAGACAAGGCTCATCTTTGTTGGTTCTGTGCTCCCTCTGCCACATTCTAGAAGTTTCAGAATGCTTCTTTGCTCATTAGCACGATGAGATTTTCCCAGGCTCATCTTGTAGTTTCTGGTCTTACTCTTGGAATCACCCACTTCTCAAAGGGTGCTTTGAGTTTTGAAACAAATGTCTTCAAACTGAACCTATCCATCTCCAGGCTTTTAAAATTGTAGAACATAAGCAGAAAAGCAAAGTATTGTCTTAAAAAAAGAGAAGGAATGAACATTTCAGTTTGAATCCCCTTGCTAATAGAGGAATTCAGTGAAATTATAGACCAAATCACAGTTTTCTATTTCAGAGATGGTAATGTTCCCATAAAGCATAATCTTGCACAACACACATCTTTACAATACGCAGAAATACTGGCCAGTAGTGAATTGCACTCGAGTGCATTGGCTTGAGCCCCAATGGCAAAAGCAAAGCAGGATCCTATTATCATTTTTCTGTAACCCTGTCAATTAATAGAACTAATTGCCCATGTCAATGTCAGGGTCACCTTGAAACCTGATGTTTACATGTCACTTCAAACCTTCTGTGTCCTTTTGCTGCTTTAACTGGTATCCCTGCTCTCTGGATATAATCTCAAGGACTCCCCCATGCCCAAGGATCATAGCCTTTTCTCTTTCCACAGAACTCTTTTTTAGTAACCCCTGACTTTTGGAAGAAGGTATTATCATGTAAATTACCACATCTTCCAAGACCTCTCCAATTCCCACCTCATCCTAAGGGTGCACATCATTGATTGCAGTGAAGCTAGAATGAACTGTAAAGGATCTGCTCGAGGCACCATGGCCCCAGGAGACCTGGCAGCTATGCTATCTTCCTCAGCCACCTCCAAACTGCAGCCTGGTCCATCGCTGGCACCGATGACCTTGGTCTATTTTACAGGGATCAAAAGACCTAGCTTAAAACAATGCTCTGTTTCAAAGAAGGTATTCTAAATTCAGCACACACTAGGATTACATCAATCCTCTGGGCTTTGTAAATAGAGGGAGGATATGGGAAGAAATAGGTATGATGGATTTCATTCCAACGTCAACCATGTGGATTATTCTGAGGTTTGGCTGACCAATAACCACTCTTTATATTTCACATGAATGTTACTCATCTCATGGGCCAATAAATGGAAGTCTCTGGCTTCCATTTGCTAAAATTCCCAGCTGGCTTCTGACTTTGTTAAAGCCACAGCTGGAAGGTAGAAATACAGGTGATGAGAACATCAGGCTCTCTGAATATACCAACACTGGAGCTATTATTCATTGAAAAGAAAAGTCCAAAAATATAAAGCCAACGCAAATGAGGCAAGTGGGTGGAACTTCTAGGAAGCTGAAGAGATGTAGAAAATGGAAAGAAGCAAAGTATATATAGAGAGAATCAGCGGAGGGGCTGAATGTTGAACGCGAGGCACTCAGCCAATGCAGGAGGGCAGTTAGCGTAGACACTTACATGGGTGCCTTTGCGGTGTTTAAGGCACACTTAGAGAAATAAAAACCAAACTCTTGGCAAGACCACAGTAGTTACAGCCCAGGTACAGCGATGGTACAGCAACATCTCCTAATGTCTTTCAGGGCATCCACAGCCATCCTCTGACCTGGGAAGGGTGTCAGTGATAGAAGTGTTTCCTGCCCTGGCCATGCCGGGCAGGGTTCTCACATGTTACAGTTAAATTTTCCTTTGGCATCAGTTTGACATTACTTCCTACCTGCCACTTGTAGTGTGTTGTTTCTTTCCTCACACCTAGTAAGTTTACCAATCGATCCAACTTTCCATTCTCATGCAGTAGGCATGCACCAGTACTGTGTGTGTGATTGACCTAGGTGTTGAATAGCAATGCTGGTCTGAAGAGATGGTCATTGCCCTAACAACTGAATGTGTGTCAAAATAGATGAGAAAGTGGGCAAGAATTCAAGAGACTCAGGCTTTGGTAGTAGTAGACTAGGTACTTGGTGGAGAGCTGGGATTGTTGCTCAGTGACCTTTTCTCATCGGGAAGTGGTACTATTTGTGATAAACCATGTTTTTGTTCCCAGCTATTCACCCCTCTCTGTAAGAGGATTATACCCCCCTCCCATGGCTGTGTGACTGGCAGCAGGGCCCCTGGTAAGGAGATATTCTTCCACTGAGTCAGGCTTGGCCATCTGACTTGATGGCCCAAAAGACAGAATTGGCCAGGTGCCAGTTCAGAGCAGAAGCTGTAAAGGCATCATGCTTTTCCAACAGCTCTCTGGCTCTTTCCTTCTGCCACAAGGATGGCATATCCCAAACTGGTATTGCTCCTTCTGCATGGTCTCAGAATGAGAAGAACCACAATTTGGAACAGAGCTGCAGAAGCTGACCTACAGCCCCAGGGAATACAGCCCCAAACCAGCTGTTTCCTCAGTAAACTACAGTCAGCTAAATGTGCTTCA